AAAAAAAACTTTTAAATCGTTTTGATTAACGAAACGTTTTTTTCCTTCAAACATTTCCTTTCCTTATTTTTCCTTTTTTACATTATTATTATTATTATTATTATTATTATTATTATTATTATGTATTCAAATTTTTTTTTTTTTAAAAAAAACCTCGAGGAAATAAATAATTTATTGCTTTTAAGGTTATTTTGCAAATTTCAAAATTTTCACGTTCGTTCCCGTAACCGAAAAGAACCACTTAAAGGTTTTTCCACCTTCGTTCGCCCTTTTACACTTTTTTTTTTTTTTTTTTTTTTTTTAACCGAAAGCTTTTATTCCCCCAATTTGCCTTTTTCCTTAACTTTTTTTTTTTTTTTTTTTTTTACGTTTTCTGGGGGAATGGGGGGGGGGAAAATAAGAAAAAAAAAAAAAAAACCCAAAACGTAACGACTGGATGAAGTCTTTGAAAAGCTTTTCATACGTGACTTGAATTTACTTAAATTTTCAGGTTAAAAAAAAATTTTTTTTTTTTTTTTCAATCCCTCGTGCCTGTCGCTTCATAAAAAAAATTTTTTTTTTTTTTTCATATGTGATCTCTAAGCTTATCCCTACATTTTTTTTCCGCTTCCCTTATTATTCCACATGAATTTTCAACGATGAAAATATGAAAATTATATTTTAAACGAGTATTATTGTAAAAACGTTTTTTTTTTTTTTTTTTTTTTTTTTTATACTGAAATTATTCGCGCCATCGTGAATAACCTGGATTTTATTATTATTATTATTATTATTATTTTCACTTTTAAACGCGATGAGAATTTGTGTACTTGTCGAAGTTTTCAAACGATTATTCCACGTCTCTACCCCGATTCCTTAGGAATAAATCCTGGAATTTTTTGGGGTTGTTCCATATATCGCGATTTTCCTTTAAATACCTCAGAATTTTCTTTAAATTTCTCTTTTTGTTGATCGTGGCATGGTTCCAAGTGCTCCTCCGATGACCTAAATAGTTGGCTGTCGCAGTTCCGTCAGTGTGAATTTGTTGATCATACAGAACCGTGCATGAACCCGCCGTCGTAACCGGGAAGGGGGAGGCAGGAAACCATTCCTTGGCTAATCCATCCATTCCGGATTGACGAAGATATTCCAATCAAGATATCGACAAATTTTTGTTGACTCTCTAGGTATTCACGTTTTGCCAATATCGAACAACCGGAAATTAAATGTACTGTCGATGCACTTTTTCTGTTCCCACTTGCTCTCAAGTTCCTTTTTGGGATTGTGCTTCCTATCACAAGTTTCCAGCCGCTATTTTTCCATTCCGGTGTCTTTACTTCCCTCCACAATTTCCCTTTTTCTTTTGTGAACTCCTTTTCTCGGGCTAAGATCGTGTGTGGTGCTTTATCCCACATATTTCCCCCATTCCTGCGATAGCGTTATATATACGTACGCACCGCATACATTTTGCCGCAAACCTTTTCCATTATTATTATTATCATCCTTCCTACTTATTATTATTATTATTATCAAAATTTTTAACACTCGATTGTAACTTATTGAAGCAGCAACAAACGTTTTATTTATTTATTTATTTATTTATTTTCCATTTCTCTTTTCTAACTCACACATTTTCAAATTTTCTTAACTTGTTATTATTATAAATATTTATAACTTACTAAATACGCAATCATATTATCACGAACGAGGGGGGAGGGGGAAAAAAAAAACCTACGGGATTTTCCCCGATTTAAACGAAACACAATTACTTTCGCCATTTTGAATTTATTATATAACATTTTTCCACCCTCCCGAAATTTCCTATTTCTAAACTCGACTTTTTTTTGGACATCCATTCAAGAAAAAAGTTTTTCATTTTTCTATTTCCGTTTATTATTATTATTATTATTATTATTATTATTTATCGATACACAAAACCGTTGACGTAAAATAAAAATATCATTATCATTATTATTATTATTATTATCATTAAGTTAAATGCATACTAAATTTAATTAAATACAAAAAACGTTCGGAATCTTTTTTTTTTTTTTTTTTTCATCTTCTTCTTTACATCATTTCCCTTATTTAATAATTAAATTAATAATAATAATAATAATTTTTTTTTTGTAATGACGTCACAAAGGGGTAAAAACTTTTATATTTTTATTATTTAAAAGCTAACACAAAGAATTATTATTATTATTATTATTATTGTAATTATTTATTTATTTATTCGAATAATAATAATAATAATAACTAAACGCTGAATGTTTATTATGCTTTTTATCATTATTATTTATTATGTAAGAGTTTTAAAAAAATGGCGCGAGATTTAATTTTTTTTTTTTTTTAATCCTCTCGTGAATTATACAAGTTATGTAATCAAATTTAAAATTAAATGCATTCCTTTATTTATTTATTTAATTATTTATTTATTTTCTTGTCGGGTTCGCGCTAAATAAAATAAAAAAGAAAAACGAAAAGAAAAGAAATGAAAAAAGTTTTCGTGTCGTTATAAATTAAATTATTATAAAAAAAAAAAAAAAAAAAAAAAAGAAAAGAAAAATTTTCACGTGGAAAAAGAAAGTAAACGAACCTTACAAAAGGTAAAGCAAACAAACAAAAAAATTTTCGACACTTGAAAACAACTTTATTCCCACGTCTGTCGTCGTCCTTTAAATTTCTTCTTTTCCTTTACCCCCTTCCCTTCCCATCCCATCCCATTCCACTCCCAAGGGATATTTTCATCTCGACCCTGATTTCATAAATAATTTGACTCCGATTCAAAAAAAGGAAAAAGGTTAATTTCGAACGTGAAAGAAAAAAAAAAAAAAATCGATCGATCGATCGATCCATCGATAAACTAAACTTTTCAACCATCATCTCGAAATGCGAATTTCGATATTATTTTATATATAAATAAATAAATTCTTACCGGTTTCCGGTTTCGTCAATTGATTTTAAATGAAAACTGCGGCAACCGGAACTCGAGTATGTATGGAGTCCATTTTCGATATTCCGTTGAACGAATCGATAAGAATTGTTTTTGTCGTTTTTGTTGTCATCGAACGTTTCGTTTACCTAATTAAAAAAAAAAATTAGTGATTGATTATTAATTAAAAAGTTTTTTTTCTCCTCACCGCATCCCCTCCCCCTCCTCCACCACCGCTCCGTCGCAGTAAAAATTTGTTTAAATTATGTATTTACAATTAATGTGGCTTAAATGAGAACAGGAGTAAATTGGATGGAAATTCGATCTTTTTACCCTTATTTCAACCCTTCATCTACCACCTTCCTATCCACCACCACAACCACCCCCTCCTTCTTCCCATTCGCAGCCGGAATCTTTTTGTTAATTTACTGTTTTGGTCGACAGACTTGGGGCGCCACGAACCAAAAAAATTTTTTGAACCATGAAAACTACGAATCGTGTGCGTCAACTTTTATTTTTGCCAAAGAATGATTTTTTTTTCCTTTTTTTTTTTTTTTCTTTTGTTGGCAATCTCACCACAATTATAAATAATGAATGTTATTTATTATTTTTAAAAGACTTTTTGTTGTTGTTGTTGTTGCTGCTGCTGCTGCTGCTGTCGTTATTTAAAAAAAAAAAGAATTGGAAAATTCCATTCGCAAAAATTTTCCCTAATTATTATCACATTTTATGAATTCATTCAAAAATAAAAAATAAAATATAAACAATTTGCCAACATAACAAAAAAAAAAAAATTAACACGCTACCACATATAGAAAAAAAAAAAAAAAAAGGAAAAATTTAAAGAATGATTGTATGGAAATGTAAAGAGGAAGGAAAAGAAAAGAAAAGAAAAGAGAGAAAAAAAAATTATGAAATAGTAAACCGGATAAAGAAACGAAGCGAAAAATATAAAATAGAAAGTGAAAAAGGAAGACGGAAAATAATAAAAAAAAAATAATAAAAAAAAATAAGAAAGAAACCGGAAACAGAATGGAAATGTGAGTTTCGGAAACGAAACGAAATGAAAAAAAAAAGCAAAAAAAAAATTTTTTTACGTTTTCTTTTTTTTTTTTTTTCGTGCTTGATTCATAAATATTTACCGCGAATTTGTTTTTCGAATTAAACAAAATAAATTAATTTAATAAAACTTTTCCAAACTCGCTACCGCGGCCGCCATTTTTTCCCTCCCCCTCTTTTCCCCCCGCCCCGCCCTTTCTAAATCGGTTTTATATAAAACTTAATAGAATTGAGTGACAATTTTCAAACCGAAATCATTTCAATAATAATAATAATTTTTTTCTTGCGGCTTATCTTTCTGTTGCAGATGTCAGACGAAGACCGAATGTCTCTGACAACGGCTGTCAGCGACGAAGAGGATGGAGAATCCGTTCACAATTCTCCGTATCGTGCCAAACAAACTGGAACGGCTGCTGCTTCCTTCAATTGCACTGGAGCCGTTCGAAAAGCCGGGTAAGCTTTTACTCATACACCTTTTTATATTAATATTTATCGATTTCGTATAAAAAAAAAAATTTTTTTTTCGTCGTTTACATTTTTTCTTTCTCAGGTAAAAAAACCCCCCTCCCTCCCCACCATTCGCCCCCTCTATTTCTTCCCCGCCCCCCTCACAAAAAAGAAACCCCGAAAACTTATAGCCGACGATAATAATAATAATAATAATAATAATAATATTTATTAAATTTTTATGATAAAAATAAAAATTAATCGAAAAAATATATAATAATAATAATAATAATGATGATAAAGTTTTCACGGAAAGAAACTAATACGAAAGGGAAAAAGATTGTAAAATAATAATAATAATAATTCTTTTTCTCTCTCTTTTTCCACCCTTGGATAAAAAAAAAAAAAAAAAAAAATCTGACGTGAAAGAGTTACAAAGACAGTTATTGAGAAAAAAAAAAAAAAAGGAAAAAAAAGGAAAAAAGGAAAAAAGATGGACGTGTAGGCGACCCGAGATTTTCTTCGGATTGGCAATACGTGAGAAAAAAAAAATATCAAAGGAAAGTAAAAAAATAAAAAAAAATTCGGTTTAAAGGAAAAAAAAGGAAAAAAAGGAAAACTTTTTTTTTTTTTTATGAAACAAAATTTAAATTCCTTTGAGATCAAACTTAAAAAAAAAAAAAAAAAACGGAAAATTTTTATTTTTTTTTTTATTTTCCCTTCGCAACTGGCAGGTACGACATGCGACAAAAATTTTCCTTCTTTTTTTCTTTTTTTTTTGCTCTCGCGATTATGAAACGACGATTATGAATTATTTCATTAAAAAAAAAAGGATCGAAAAGGTTTTTTTTTAAAAGGTTCTAAAAGATTCTAAAAGGTTTTTAAATACGTCGAAAAAAAAATAATTAATTTCAAGTTAAAATTTTAATTGTTTAACCGACAAAAAAAAAAAAAAAATAAAATAAAATCCAACCGCAATCGCTAAAAATTTTTTTTTTTTTAATTTAAATGATGATAATGATGATGATGATAATGAAGGGCTTCTTATTGAATTCGCCTAACGAAACCCTGGAGGGATTTTCTGGAAATTTAATTGATTTTAAAATCCTTTAATTCTTTTTCTTAGTTTTCATTTTCTTATTCCTTATTCTGATTATATTTGAATCAAGGTATTAAATTTTTAGGTTTAAGGTTTTCGATAATAATAATAATAATAAATCTTTTTCCCCCCTTCTTTTCTCCTACTTCCTCCCCCTCTCGTCTTATTTTTTCCCCAAAAAAAAAAAAAAAAAAAAAAATTAATAAAAACCGACCCCGTTGAAAAACATGTGAAAATTTTTTTTTTTTCTCCAGTAAAAATACACTGAAAAAATTTCAATTTTCGCTTAATGCTTTCTTTTCCCCTCCTCCTCCTTTCCCTTCTCCTTTCCCTCCTCTCCTCTTCCTCCTCCTCCTCCAAAAGAAAAAAAAAATGAACCGATTTTGTTTTATATATTAATTTGTCACGTTGAAATTTTCAATCTTTTTTTTTTTTTTTTTACTCCAGTGACATTTAAACAATTGTAAAAACCTTCAATTTTCTGGAGAGCAATTTTTTTTTTGTAACGATTTTTAGCATTTTTCTTTCCTTTTTTTTTTTTTTTCAATTTTAAACCCAATTTATATTTTCCAAAAAAAAAAAAAAAAAAAAAAAAAAACGTTTTCCCGATTTAATACAACTTCATTTCGTTTACCTGTTTATTTTTTTTATTTTTATTTTTTTTTCTGGAAAAACTTTCGTTTTTACATCCGTATTTTATTTCCAGTTTCTTTTTTTTTCCCCAGTAAAAGGAAGAAGAGACAACTGGAGGGAATTTTTCTTTTTTTTTTTTTCTCCAAAAAATGAAAATTGAATAGATAAAATTCAGTTTTTGAAGTTTTACAAAAAAAAAAATATATATATATATATAATATTTTGTTGCCATGGAAATTTAAAACGAATTTCATTATTATTATTATCATCATTATTATTATTATCCCTCTTTCTCTATATATACTATAAAATTAAATTATAGTTTATCTATAAATTATAGACTTATATTATTATTTTTATATTGTATCTACAAACGATGATTCGTTTGTTAAAAACAAAAACAAAAAACCCCCCACTTTTCCTCCCCCTTCCTCCCTCGAATAGAATAAATTAATTAATTAATTTTTTTGTCCAGTCAAAATTTTGTCCAGTAAATTTTCAATTATGATAACGACGATTTGATAATAATAATGATAATAAATCGAAACTCGTAAGAAATATTAAAACGTGTATGTATATATGAGAAAATGAGTGAAAAAATGAAAAACCCAAAAAAAAAAAATTTGAATGAGAAAGAGGGGGGACCGAAAGGGGAGGGGGAAGGTTTGTTTTTTTTCGAGAGGGGGGGGAGGAAAAAACGGGTGAAAGAGCTTTTGGATAATTTCCAGATGATTTTTAAATCGTTTTTTTTTTTTTAAAAAAAAAAAAAAAAAAAAAGAATGAAATTCAAAAATAAATTAATTTTTTTTTTTCAAAGCTTTTCGAAACGATGAGTTGAAGCTGGGGGGGAAGAGAGGGAAGGGGAGGGGAGGGAAACGATGGGTTCAAAAAGGGAAAAAAACGGTAAAGGGTGACAACCTCAAAGGGAGGGAGGGAGGAAAGAGATTCAAATTAAAAATTTTCATCAAAAAAACAAAATTTTTCCCTATTTTCCGATGGTAAAATTAAAATATTTTTTTTTCCCCCCAACCGGAACCACAAAAACTAATTTCC